AAAACCTCACTTCTTCAGATGCATCTGAAGAAGTGAGGTTTTTACCCATGAAAGCTTATGCCCAAATAAATCGGTTAGTCTTTAGGGTTTTTTGTTGTTGTCCTGGCCTATGCTAACTATATTTACACTAAACTGAGCAGCCTGTCAGTCAAGCCAGCTGCAGCTCCCTTCCCCACCTGGTGGGATTTGGGGGAGGGGAGAGGAGTCACCCTTAGGCAGCAATCAGGCCTAAGTTGTTCTTCGGCTTTGTTGCTATAACAACTGAGTTCCTTCCAGGGCTCGGGGCCAAGGAGGAAGTGACGAGAGGAGATTGGCTGTTGTTGGGCCATGTGACCCTGGCAGTGTTTTGACAGGGCAAATAGAGCCGGGAGGAGGGGGAGCGGGGCAGGCAGGGGGATGAGTGTGCGGAGCGAACGCAGGAAGGGGTGTAGCGGGGTCCTAGCGCTGTCCATCCGCCGGGGCCCTCCTCCCTTCCCCCTTCTGGCCTCAGGTGAAGCCGCTGAGTTTAGCACACGCCCCCTCCCCCCAGCCCTGCTCCAGCGCTTGGCAACGCCTGGGGTGGATGTGATGCGTGCGGCCCGTTTGGCCGGAGGCAGAGAAGTGCCAGGCGGCGAGGAGGAGAGTTAGTCAGCAGCGCGGAGAGGAGGGAGGGAGGGCGGGCGGGCAGGAGGCAGAGCCATGGACAACAGCCCTCTGCGGCAGCAGGGAGAGGAGGGGGCCGTGGCGGGGGGGAGGCAGAAGTGAGGCGGACGAGCGGAGGGCAGAGGCGGGGACGTGTCTGGGGGAGAGGGGGTGTCGTGGCGCTGCCAGAGCAGGTATCCGCTCCCCTCAGCGGCCGCCCCATTCCCCGGCCTCGCCCAGGGAGATGAGCCTGTGACATCGCGCTCGGACCCGGGAGGGCGAGGGGGACGGGGCACGGCAGGCGAGCAGGGGCTGTGGCCGGGAGCGGAGGGGGAGATGAGTGTGGCATGCGGCCGCCCCCGGCGCTAGCCAGGGGCCGGTGCAGGGCTAGCCCGCCCCGCAGGGGGCGTTGATTGGAGGGGGTGTCTGTGTGACAGGCGGAGCGGGCTGCGCAAGCCCTGTCAGACGCGGGCAGGTGGGGGGCACTGACAGGGAGCTAGTAGGGCGGGACGCGGCTGTGCCGGCTGGTACAATTCCCGTCCTCCCCCATCGCAGTATGCCAGGAGAGGGGCTAGGCGGGCAGGCAGAGCGGGGTCGCTCGTGAGCGGAGGGTGTGAGAGACGAGTCCGAAATCCAGGTCAGCCCTGGCTGGGTGAGGAGGCAGCGAGATCAGCCGGGGCACTGACCGCGCAAGGGGCGCGGGGATGGGGCTGACCTCTCTTCCAGCCCCTTTTGCGATCGATGGTGTGACGGGCTGCTGCTAGTCAGGAGCATTGGTGTAGAGGAGCGGGGGGGGGGCAGTTGGAGGGGTCTGGCGTCTTCCCCCTCCTGGAGCAGGTAAAAAGGAGTGGACGCCAGGCAGCTTGGGCCGACATTGTCTGTGGCGGCTGTGACTCAGAGGCTCTTTCTGCTGGGGGGGTGAGTTTAGGTGGCAGTGGTATGGGATTTTACCCCGGCAGGTTATAAATAGACCTGCTCAGACGCTGTGTCAAGGAAGGACACATTGGCAAGTTCCAGAGAGAGACTAGCTGTGTTTAGCTTTTCTCCGCAGACAGCTGCTGCCACCACAATGAATGCAAGGAGGAGGCCTAGCTGTTAGCAGCAGGATCTTGTAAGCCCTAAGGAGTGGAGTACTGCGTTTTATCTTATTTTATTGTTTTACACACAAATAAATAAAACTAGCCAGAGAAAGCATCAGAGAGTCTTCCGAAGAAGAAGGACGAAAACCCTTATAAGCTCATTTCAGAGATCTGGGAAGAAACGGACTGGGAGTGAAAATGAAGCCAGAACGAGGTAAATGATTTATTAAGAGTTTATTTTTTTTCTAATTTTAGAAACAGACTGTTTTTTAAGGCCTTCCTATATTATCACTGATTCTGGTTGAGGGGGAAGGAGAGAATTCAGCTGCTGCTTTGGTTCAGTCCAGGAAATACTGAAAAGGGTATAATATAAGGTAAGGTGTAGTCTGAAATTGATTAGGCAGAATTGGATATTGTTAGTTTTTTTAAAATTCTGCTGTTTAAATGGATTAATTAATTTTACCAGTAGAGCTCAGGGAAAGGAAGCAGAAACTCATTGTAGTAAACACCTTTTGCCCTGGGAGATAGGATCAGTTAAACATCAAATAGAGTTGTATTCAGACTATTATCATACAATTGCAACATTTTAAACAAAGAAATCAGCCACAGATACGGTCAGGCAGCATCGGGCAATCCTGGCATAAATCAGGGATATATAAATGCAGGTAAGTGCAGCCCAGAAATACATCTAAAACAACTATAACTGTTAAAGAATATTTATTTAGTTTGATACATGGGATTCTTTTTAGTAAAAAAGTCAGGTAAACAGTAAGCAGCAGGTTGAAATAGACATGTTGTTTAATGGTCATTGCTGGTGTTGATCATATTTTTGTATGACTAATCCATAGGCAAAATAAAGTGCACTGAGAATGTATCTGTTTCTACCACTTCAGTTCTTGTATACAGTATAACAACAGCTGCTGATGCCCCTAGAGTTAAAAATATGTCATGGCTTCTCTTCTAAACAATATTATTGGGGTATATTGCTGTAAAAAATTGCCTCACTTAGCCAACAAGCAGGCTGTGAGCAAATTTTATTATTTGTCATACTAAAGAATTTTCAAAAAATCTTGCATAGTTGCTTGTATACATTTCTTTTATTTTTTTTTCTGTTTTTCCTTCTGCTATTTTTTGTTTAACCTAACTGCTTTTTAGTTTTGAAAAACATATATCTCTATTTTCCTGTAGTATTAATAACTTTTTTGGTATTTGAGAAGTGCTTTAAAATAGTCTAGATATTGAGGTGTTAAACATTTAATATGCATGTGCAGTAACTGCTTTCCATTAAGCTTTTTATTATACAATTGTTAATACAGACCTTGCATAGAGGCCTATTATTATTTTCCACACTCTGTAACATCCTTTGTAGACATCATATTCTGCGATTGTATATTAAAAATGTACAGCACGGGTTGATTAGTAATATGTAAATTCACAGTTTAAAAACAATTGCTTATGCTTTAAAACAGGTAGGTGCTACTAAGAAGCAAAGGAGCATTATTATTTTTTTTGAAAGCTGACTGTTGCAAAGCAAGCTGTTTGTAGTGTGCATCTTTAGACTTCAAATCACATGACTGAAGTTTGAAAGCTTAGCTGTCTACCACTGAGGTGAATTCAAAATTTCAAAATAAATAATCAGATAAAACCAGAGAGTCAATATTTGCTGTTTTTAAACTATTCTAAAAGCTCTAATTGACCTTTGTCTATGCTTTTGTAACTCATAACAGATAGGAAAATGCAGTTGTCTAGTTCATATTTTAAGATGCTTTGGAATGGTTAATGTCTTTTAATCAATATGAAGAGTGGATTTGTTGAGAAACAAAAGAGTGGTAAGAGTGGTAAAAAATTTTCATGGAAACTGGCATTTAGTAGATTGAGATTACATCTAATTATCTCTAAGAACCTAAAGACAGTATAGAATGTTCAGTAAAGTGTTTAAACTGCTTTTAGATCAACACCAAATGAAGGTAAGTTTTCACAACAAATAGAGAAAGTGAATAGCCATTTTAGTAAACGAATATCTGTAGCTTAAATGTGTGCTGTTTGTTAATGTACTTGAGTAATACCATATACAAAGGGGGTTATGAAAGTGCTGCCTAAATGCCACATGCAGCCCACAGACGCTCTTACAGAGGCACGAATCATGCAAATGTTTACATGTGCTGCCTTCTGCATAGCAGCTGCACCACAGTAGAGCAAGCAGTCAAGTGTGCAATCACCTGCTTCCATTTGTTGCAAATTAATAGTGAAGGACACAAAACAAGCATTGCTGTCAGTTTGCCAAGGCCTAAATTGTGATACAGACCTCCAACATGTTGGACAAAGACCCATAATGAGCACACAATAGGTAATTGGAAAGAAGAAAATTTAAAAGATATGGAATAAACTTATTTAGCATAATTGTTGATAACTCCAGTTTAACTTTTGAGAAATTTTAAAATCTGTATTTTCAAGGTGTTTAGTAGTCTGTATGTTTGAGCCTTTGTGTCTGTGCACAGAAGAATACCGTACTTCTGCATTTTTGAATTGGATGAATGGGGCGGGTCATTTGAACTGGATTTTTTTTTCTGTAGATGTATATGCCTTCAAAAACCAAGTGGAGAAAAAATGTGTTTTTTTAATTAAGGTAATGCTTAACTAAGACTTTACCCAAAAGGATTGAAAGATACAAATGTTTGAGGGGGAAAGGAGGAGGATGATTGTTTGACATACCTTTATCACAGTACCTAATTATGAGCTTTTAACAGAGACCAGGTCTACACGACAAAGTTTTGTCAGCATAGCTATGTTGGTCAGGGGTGTGAAAAAAACCACACCCCCTAGTCAACATAGCTATGCTGGCAAAGGCCCCAGAGTAGACGTAATTATGTCAACGGAAGACTGCTTGCATCAGCATAATCAATGTCATTCAGGGAGGTGGTATACTGGCTGACAAACAGTTGGTTTATGCTGTGCCTACATGGGGGCTTTGCCAGTATAACTGTACTGCTGTAGCTATACTAGCAAAGCATTTGTAGTGTAGACAAGTTACAGAGTCACCAGTACAGAGGAATGGCAGGCAGGGAAGGAAAGAAGAGGGGAACTAATTCTGATGCCCCACTCTTACTAACAGTGGGGTTTTCATAGGACATTAGCTCTGAGGGGGGAAGGTTTATGTGGGATAGAGGTTTATACCAGATAGAGGATCTAAAATACACAGTATGCTTTATAATGAGAGAAGTTTGAAAATTGCAAAGGATAAAGACAAAAAATGTTTCAAGGGAAGTGGCTGGGAAAGCATGAGTATGGACCTCCAAAAGACAAGCTCATGGAGCAGTCTTGGAAACTAGGGAAACTGTTCGTAGATCTGGAAGTGGAAGGAAGGATGTAGCCTCATCACAGTTAAATATGAGCCCTCATTGGCTGTGTCTTCACTAGCCTTTTTCACTTAAATTTCACTGCAGCTCCACCACTGGGAGCATTAATGTAGATAGGCAGCTGCCCCTTAACTGCTGTCACCTAACCCTGCTAGGTCTAGATTACATGGTAGTTATAGCCACTTGTCTGCACTAGCATTATTACTTGGTACGTTGTTGCCAAGTCTCACAATTCTATCACAAGTCTTGCAATATTTGGTGTTTTTCCTGGAGTCATGTAATTAAGTAAGAATCTCAGATTTCATTACCAATCACTGAAGCTGCAGTGTGCAATTTTAAGAGAAAACAAATTCCATTGTTGACAAAACCATGTCTGTGTAATGTCCTGTCTGCAAGTACAGAAATTTGCTTGCACAGATATACTGTTCTCTTGCAGTGATGGTGTTCGGCCTCTTTTGCTCTCAATAGGTACCTGCCTATTGCATTCCATAAACTAGTTATTTTATGTCTAATTTAATGGAACCAAGTTCCAACAAGATGTGTACATATACACTGAGTTGCTGTTTGGTCTTACTAATGTATTAACCCTTCTCTTTCCTTACCCCTTTCTTCTCCACTGTTTGTTATGCTTTTGTGGCTCATTTGTGACCCATCTAGAATTAGACTGTAAGTTCTCTAGGTAGGAATCATCTGCACTTTTAAGTATTAATTCCTTCCCACACCATCCTGCTTTTGGGAAAGGGGAAGATTTCCTGGCTGACTCGCTTCTATCCTGTCATCCAAGCAAAAAAAGAGGAGAACATCAGGCTGAAGATTATGCTCCTCTCTCCTTCCTCCTTTCCAGAGAAATCAAGACTGGAGGTGCTTGGTGGTCTGTTCCTAGCAGTTGGGTTGAGAGACCCCCTTATGTCTCTTTCCAGTGATCAGTGAGGGGAAAGCTGCTAATTCAACCTTAATAGAAATTTGGCCAGCTTTGTCACATTGAGGCTGTACATGAAAGACTTTCCAGTGGGTGTAGGGAGAGGGGATGAAGACTGGGATTTACAGGAAGTTGGGAATAGTGCTGGCCACAAAACAAGAATTTAGCGTTGTGAAAAATTTTGAGGTTTTAGAATTTTTCATTTTACATTAGAATGACACTGAGACCTTTTGACATTTTTTTTGTTGGGGCGGGGGAAGAAACCAAACAGAATAGCAGATAGCCCATCCTGCACCTGAGAAATCTTTCTAGATGAAAGTTTTGTTGAAACAGATATATTTTGCTTTTAATTAATTGACATTTTCTGAAGAGAAAAGTTTTGCTGAAAAATTCCCAACCAATTCCAGTTGGGAGCCTGTTTGCATGAGCACTTCTTCCCCTAGCCAACAGATACTGAGTGAATTTTTTTTTTAAGGGGACATTGTTAAGGGGGAAACTTTTGTTTCAGGTATAATTTGTACTTTTTTTTTTTAACTTCAAAGGGGCATCCTTGGCAAGTATTTTAACAAGTGGTGAATAGTACAGCAAATAGATTAAGTAATGAACAGACCTTTTAAAAAAAAGAGATGTGTAATTAATTGCATTTTAGTGTCCCATACATAAGCCCCTTCATTTTCAGTTTAAACCAATTTTTACTGAAAAATTCCTGGGCTTTACAAAGTATTATTCAGTTATGATTTTCACCCTAATTTTTTATCATTCAAACGTATACATGTATGTGTGTATATATGTATGTTTTATTAGGAAAATACAATACATTGCATGAGATACTGTATATGTGTCAAGGCTGCTTCCCCACTTTGAACTTTAGGGTACAAATGTGGGGGCCTGCATGAAGACTGCTAAGCTTAACTACCAGCTTAGATCTGGTCCGCTGCC